AAATATGCTATGATAATTAAATAATTTCATTTGACATTTTTTTTATGACATGACAATTATATATATTATATTTATAGTATATAGATAAATAAAAATGTCATATAAATAAATATTTATATTTTAATTAAAAAATAAAATTACATTACTACCCTTATCTCCTAATCCCTCTTCTTCCCCTTCTTTCTTTCTCTTTCTTCTTTCCTACCCAGATCCCTTTTTTTCCCCTTCTTTCTTTCTCTTTCCTTCTTTCTTACCCAAATCGGCTGGGTTCTGATGAGCTGGGTGGCTGGGTTATGATGAGCTGGGTAGCTGGGTTCCGATGAGCTAGGTAGCTGGGTTCGACGAAACCCAGATCTGCTGGGTTCCGTCGAACCCAGCTTTGCTGGTCGCCCGAACCCAACTGTTGGGTTTCGCATGACCAGCAAGGCTAGGTTTCAACGAACCCAGCCTTGCTGGTGGTTGCGTCGAACCTAGCTTTGCTGGTCGCCCGAACCCAGCCTTGCTGGGTTCGTCAAAACCCAGCTGCTGGGTTTCGCATGACCAGCAAGGCTGGGTTTCAATGAACCCAACCTTGCTGGTGGTTGCACGAACCCAGCCTTGCTGGGTTCGTCGAAACCCAGCTACTGGGTTCGCGCGACTAGCAAGGTTGGGTTTCGACCAACTCAGCCATGCTGGTTTCATTGAAACCCAGCCTTGCTGGGTTTCGACATTGGGTTCATGTTTTTTCATTCTTGTTTTGATTTTCATTTTCGGTTCTTGATAAATTTGAGAGTTGATTTACAATTTGATTGCATTTTTGTTGGAATTGGATTAGAGTTTGATTGCATTTGTTTATTGAAGGGTTAATTTGATTTGGTGAGATCTATTAGCTTGATGAACTCAGTGGGTTTAATGAAACTAGTAAGGGTTTGATGATAAAGAACTCAAATTTTTCTCTGGAGCATTCTAGGGTTCATAGTTTTTTTGCAGGTTTTAGTGAGTTTGATTTGTGAGAATATGAACTCTCAACGTCATAGCAATTAACCTTTTATGGGTCTACCAGCAGCTGGGTTTCGACGAACTCAGCCGATCTGGGTAGGAAAGAAAGAAAGAGAAAGAAAGAAGGGGAAGAAGAGGGATTAAGAGGGGAGGGTCATAATGTAATTTTATTTTTTAATTAAAATATAAATATTTATCTACGTGACATTTT